TATTCCAACAGTCAAATATAAGATCATATAATATCTAGTCCATCAACATCACTGTTTATTTCTAAATGGCACATATAAATGAAAATATCAACAGTCTGTATACATTGCACCAATATAAAATTGCACTTTAAACACAGGGTTGTCATTAACATTTTACTGAAATGGTTTATTCTGAATATGAAGTGGTCATTTTAATTTTGGTTTATAACATACAACAAGGAATGTTTTATCAAGTTAAGAGGCAGCCCAGAATGCTTTTTCAGACAGTTATTTTTGCCTCTTGTAACCTCTTTATGACAACCCTGTAAGCAACCATTGTAATAAGGTACACAACTGAACATGCACAATTAAGTATCTATTTAAGAATTACCAGCACAGTATCTCAGTTGCCTACAGTATAGCTAGTTTCAAATACAATTCCATAACTAGCAATTTCTATAAGAAAAATCTTTCAAAAATTATAATCCATACAAGATTCAACATACTCAAGTGATAAGTGTTACATTTAATATATTTTCTTTTCATCATCTTTATAAAATGCTAACTCTTTGATTACAAGAACTATGAAACAAGATATGTTTGTAAAACATGTATGCCCCCTATCAGCAGCCAATTAGTCATGTGAAAAGGTTATTAAGCATGACTTCTGACCCAGTGATCAAACAATTAATAAGGGTTATCAAGTATCTACTGGTCATGACCTTAACCTTTGACCCCTTGACCCAAAACTCAATAGGGGTCATCTGCTGGTCACGACCAATCATCATACAAAGTTTGAAGTTCCTAGGCCTAAGCGTTTTTAGTTAATTGATCGGAAACCGTTTTAACATACAAGGTCAATGTGACCTTGACCTTTGACCCCTTGACCCCAAAATCAATAGGTCATCCGCTGGTCATGACCAATCACCATACCATGTTTGAAGTTCCTAGGCCAAAGGGTTCTTAAGTTATTGATTTGAAAGCATTTTTACCTACAAGGTCAATGTGACCTTGCCCTTTGACCCCTTAACCCTAATATCAATAGGGGTCATCTACTGGTCATGACCAATCACCATACCAAGTTTGAAGTTCCTAGGCCTAAGGGTTCTTTAGTTATTGATCGGAAACCGTTTTTACCTAAGAGGTAAATGTGACCTTGACCTTTGACCCCTTGACCCCAAAACCAATAGGGGTCATCTACTGATCATGACCAATCACCATATCAAATTTGAAGTCCCTAGGCCTAAGGGTTCTTTCGTTATTGATCGGAAACCGTTTATACCTACAAAGTCAATGTGACCTTGACCTTTGACCCCTTAACCCCAAAATCAATAGGGGTCATCTGCTGTTCTTCGGCAGAGAAATATCTTGCATGCTCTTAATTCATTATCAAAACGTTTTACATTTAAAAAAAAAAAAAAAAAAAAAAAATGTGGATTTCTGAAGCATAATGTGCCTTTAATTTTTTGAGGGCTACTATTTTTAAAATTTTTATGAAAATCCGAAAATCACATATAACAGCTACTATAGAACTTTTAGAAATGTTTCATGTTTACTTTTCTAGCACACTTAATTTAAAGTTTGAATATTTCCAATTTGAACTGCAACCCAATAAACAGTTTGTGCTACCTAGTAAAGTTGGAAGACTGAAATGTGATACTTTCAAGTATAAAGCAAATGTATGGTAGTCTAAAGCAAAAAAATAACAGTTGTAAAAAAAATGTCTCAAATGCGGTTCAGTTCAAATTTACCATAAGACTTGTGTCCTTGAAAGATGTTAAGTATAAACTGCTAAGTGGTCAAAAACTTACTGAAATATACAAGACAAAGGAGTTTAAATTCTTGATATAAAATTCCAACCTTTTTGGAATAAAGGAGATCTAAACAATGATTTCACATTCACTAGAAGATGTTTCTGGCCAATTTTGACCCCAGGGCTTTTATTTGAACAAACTTGGTAGACACTCACTAGAAGATGTTCCATGCCAAATATCTTAGCTCTAGCTCTTACGGTTCTTTAAAAGAAGATTCTTTAAGTTTTTACTATATGCATATAGGGAAAATCAATGACCCCCTGGGGCGGGGCCAATTTTGACCCCAGGGCTTTTATTTGAACAAACTTGGTAGACATTCACTAGAAGATGTTTCATGCCAAATATCTAAGCTCTAGCTCCTACAGTTCTTTAAAAGAAGATTTTTTAAGTTTTTACTATATGCATATAGGAAAAATCAATGACCCCCTGGGGCGGGGCCAATTTTGACCCCAGGGCTTTTATTTGAACAAACTTGGTAGACATTCACTAGAAGATGTTTTATGCCAAATATCTAAGCTCTAGCTGTGACGGTTCTTTAAAAGAAGATTTTTTAAGTTTTTACAATATGCATATAGGGAAAATCAATGACCCCCCAGGGCGGGGCCAATTTTGACCCCCAGGGCTTTTATTTGAACAAACTTGGTAGACATTCACTAGAAGATGTTTTATGCTAAATATCTTAGCTCTAGCCTTTCGGGTTCTTTAAAAGAAGATTTTTTAAGTTTTTACTATATGCATATAGGGAAAATCAATGACCCCTGGGGCGGGGCCAATTTTGACCCCTGGGCTTTTATTTGAACAAACTTGGTAGACATTCACTAGAAGATGTTTCTGGCCAATTTTGACCCCAGGGCTTTTATTTGAACAAACTTGGTAGACACTCACTAGAAGATGTTCCATGCCAAATATCTTAGCTCTAGCTCTTACGGTTCTTTAAAAGAAGATTCTTTAAGTTTTTACTATATGCATATAGGGAAAATCAATGACCCCCCAGGGCGGGGCCAATTTTGACCCCAGGGCTTTTATTTGAACAAACTTGGTAGACACTCATTAGAAGATGTTTCATGCCAAATATCTTAGCTCTAGCTCTTAGAGTTGTTTAAAAGAAGATATTTAAAGATTTTTCTTTCGGTTGCCATGGCAACCAGAGTTCTGCATGGAATTAAATTCTTTGAACAATTTTTAAAGATGACCACCAAAGGAACATTCCTGTGAAGTTTGGATGAAATTGGCTCAGTGGTTTATGAGGAGATGTCATTTAAAGCAAAAGTTTACGGACGGACGACGGACGGACGCCGGACGGACGGACGCCGGACGAAAAGCGATCACAAAAGCTCACCCTGTCACTTTGTGACAGGTGAGCTAAAAAGGGGCATAATTCTGTCAAAATGCTTGATAGAGTTACCTCCTCCTGTCTACAGGTTGGGGTTATGATGGTGAACAAGTGTGCAAAGTTTCAAAGCCATATGTCAATGGACTTGGAAAATATTTGAGGTATTACAAAAACTTTAACGTAAATTCTAAGTCAAAAAAGGGGCATAATTCTGTCAAAATGCTTGATAGAGTTACCTCCTCCTGTCTACAGGTTGGGGTCATGATGGTGAACAAGTGTGCAAAGTTTCAAAGCCATATGTCAATGGACTTTGAAAATATTTTAACTATTACAAAAACTTTAACATAAGTGGTTACATGTACGCCGACGCAGACGCTGACGCCGACGCTCGGGTGACTGCAATAGCTCTACTTATTCTTATCGAATAGTCGAGCTAAAAATGCAGTGGTAGTCATGGGATAAACTTTCTGCAACTTATCATACCGGTATTTCTCCTTATGAACATATATTTTGAATGTATAATAAAACAGGTACATTAATTTTATATCAGCTCTTCAACCCACATCAGTCTTACAATTAGAGACTGTCACAACATAGCAAAACAGAGGTAGTATTGTAAATTTACAACTGCTAGTACTCCAGACATCATTCATGAATGAGTCATTGTGACCTTGACATTGACCCCAGAAAAGCCCAAACCTGTACTCTGCACATCATCTCAGTAATAATAATAATTCTGTTTATTAGATTTAATTAGCTACTATTGGTTTAAAAGAAACAGAGCAGACACAAAATTTTTTAATTGATACAAAATGACTAAGTGTGACCTTGACTTTGACCTGAGGAAGATCAAACCTGCACTCAACATATTGTCTCATTATGGTTAACATTTCTGCAAAGTAGTTTCAATTTCCTTCCACCAGTTCAGAAGATGCAGACCTAACAAAGACGGACAACCAAGTGCATAACAGACCAAAATTATTTCCGGCAAATAAAAAGAGTGTCATGATAGCCCTTGATGACTCTTCTGAGATGCATTGCTAGGTCATAATTTATATTTTTCAATGCTGAAGTCGGTAACAAGGAAACACTCCTTTAATCATTCTTTACAAACGCATCATATTCTTAAAACTATTTAAAGATGTCTGTGATGAAATTCTTTGTGACAAATACCTAACTCTTGGCATTGTAGTTTTTAAAATAAAAAGACTTAATAAAATGAGTTTTACTATGCAAGTTTATCTAAACTAAGTGACCCTTGGGGCAAGAATCAGTTTTGATGCAAATGGGAAGCTGATACTACATGCAAAATATCTTAAATCAGTGCACCATATTTTTTTAGAGATAAAGATTTATCAGAGCTTCACTACACAAATCTAAATTTAAACTAAGTGACCCCCAGCTGCGTTCCAATATTTTAAGGGGTGTGACTTATATAATTTTTGTACAGGTCCACTAGGCATGTGGATGCAAATTATGTAACTTTTGTAGCAGACCACTAGGTTATGCTACATTCCAAATATCTAAGCTCTGGGCATCACAGTTTCTGAGAAGAAGATTTTTAAAGATTTCAATTTAAAAGTTTATCTTTAGCTCCTATGACTTATTTATATACCAGACTGGATCCATTCATATGAGCCGCGTCACAACAAAACCAACATAATGTGTTTGCGACCAGCATGGATCCCAACCAGCCTGCACGTCCGCGCAGTCTGATCAGGATCCATGCTGTTTGCTTGCAGACCCTGTAACAAGTAGAGAAACTGATATCGAACAGCATGGATCCTGATCAGACTGCGCGGATGCGCAGGCTGGTCTGGATCCATGCTGGTCGCAAATGCACTATGTTGGTTTTGTTGTGACGCAGCTCATATAACTTTTGTAGAGCACCACCTGAGGATTATTCCTGTGAAGTGTAGTCAAAATGCATCAAGTAATTTAGTACAGAAATTGTCAATAACAATAGATGGTGAACACATTGCCATAAGAAAAGCTCACCTCAGCTCAGGTGAGACACATAAAGCATGTCAAAAGTGAATTTTAGAGTAATCAATGCTCTTAAAATGCAGGCTGTTCAGGTTTGATATTGAACAACTATCCAAAGTTTAGAAAAGGATATATTTGATGATATTTGAGAGAAGTACCTTTACATTAAATCATCCATGCAGTCTGGCCTAGTAACGTTCAAATGCTGGTTGCTTAATTATTAGATCTTGATAATAATATCTCAAAACTAACATTGACCTGTTGTTTTGACAGAATAACAGTAACGAAATCCACAGGGTAATGGTAAATAAATAAATAATGATATTATGTGAGAAAAAACAAAACTAAATTAAATAATATTAATCACAAAGGAATAACTTTCCAATAATACTTTGCATATTTAAGTAACATATTTACAAAAACGTGACAAAATAATCTTACATGAAACACCAGTACTGATTTGTTCAGTAAGAGAACTCGAAAGTGATTAAGACAAGTTGAAAGAACTTGTTTCACAATCTAACCTCAAGTTTTATACATGAATAACTTAATCAATTAATTAACTAATCTACTATAACAAGAGTCAAAATCAAACAGTTGTTTCACCACTCTGTAAAAAACATTCTGTAAGTGCTGAATAAGTTGAATTCAGATTTAAAGAAATGGTAACATAATATTCTATTCCAACAGTCAAATATAAGATCATATAATATCTAGTCCATCAACATCACTGTCTACTTCTAAATGGCACATATGAATGTAAATATCAACAGAATGTTTACATTGCACCAATATAAAATTGCACTTTAAACACAAGGTTGTCATTAACATTTTACTGAGATGGTTTATTCTGAATATGAGGTGGTCATTTTAATTTTGGTTTATAACATACAACAAGGAGTGTTTTATCAAGTTAAGAGGCAGCCCAAAATGCTTTTTCAGACAGTTATTTTTGCCTCTTGTAACCTCTTTATGACAACCCTGTAAGCAACCATTGTAATAAAGTACACAACTGAACATGCACAATTAAGTATCTCTTTAAAAATTACCAGCACAGTATCTCAGTTGACTACAGTATAGCTAGTTTCAAATACAATTCCATAACTAGCAATTTCTATAAGAAAAATCTTTCAAAAATTACAATCAATACAAGATTCAACATACTCAAGTTATATGTGTTACATTTAATATATTTTCATCTCATCATCTTATTACATGTTAACTCCTTTGTTACAAGAACTTAACTATGAAATTACAATGTATTTGACTGGTAAATTAAACTGATTATTATACCAACTCCCCTGCTGTCTTGTAAAAAGAAAGAGATAAAAGTGTTATTGTAATAGATGTGACAATGTGATAGTAAATTGCATGAACATGTAACAAGAAAAGACATCGTACTTTTATATTATAAATTATCACATTATCCTGCCTTAAATTTTAATTTATAAAATATGAATTAACTAAATTTTGTTCTGAATAAATGACATTTAACAATTGGAAATATTTCTGAATTCCAAATCATTCCTCAAGCATGACTGAAAGGTCGAATGTATATAAAGGGATGAGAATTAAATACCATACATCAGTTTTTTTAAACATCCAAATTGTATGCATAAAATTAATACAGTTCAAACTATCGTTGTATCATCTCAAAAAATTTCATCTTTGCAGAAAAAATAAATAAAAATATAAAGGATCTGGATTGAAGAATTCTTTTCCATAAAAAGTAAAGCAGGAATAAATTTATTACCGTCAATTATAAAGGCCAATTATGCGTCAAAAATGCTATCATTTTTTTCCTCTCAAAAACTGTAATTTTATTTTTGATATCATTTTCCAAAAAAAACTCATTTGCCATTATACATAAACTTTTTTTGCTGATTTTGTTATGTTGGCAAATGGTATAATTATAGTGAATTAGTATTTTACATGGAACTAAAATACTACTTTGTTTACATCTTGCTACCTTTACGAGGTATTACTACATGTTCAGTGCTTTTTCTTTAGCAGAAAAATATCTTGCATGCTCTTAATTCATTATTTAAAAAAAAAAAAAAAATGTGGATTTCTGAAGCATAATGTGCCTGTAATTTTTTGAGGGCTACTATTTTTAAATTTTTTATGAAAATATGAAAATCACATATTACAGCTACTATAGAACTTTTAGAAATGTTTCAGGTTTACTTTTCTAGCACACTTAATTTAAAGTTTGAATATTTCCAATTTGAACTGCAACCCAATAAACATTTTGTGCTACCTAGTAACGTTGGAAGACTGAAATGTGATACTTTCAAGTATAAAGCAAATGTAAAGTAGTCTAAAGCAAAAAAATCACAGTTGTAAAAAAATGTCTCAAATGCGGGTCAGTTCAAATTTACCATAAGACTTGTGTCCTTGAAAGATGTTAAGTATAAACTGCTATGTGGTCAAAAACTTATTGAAATATACAAGACAAAGGAGTTTAAATTCTTGATATAAAATTCAAACTTTTTTGGAATAAATGAGATCTAAACACAGATTTTCCTGCATAGAAAGTATCTAGAAAAACCTGAGATCAGACAGGAATTTATATAAAGTCTAGGTCTTTGTTCTTCTCATGTATGTAACTGGTGGCATGTCAGTTTACAGTTACTTTCTGAAAATATAAAACACAACTATTTTAACATTTTAAAAAGTTTACAAAAAAATATTTGAGTACCAATTATAATAGATCTACAACTTACATATCATGTCAAATTTGATAAAGAAAAAATTGTCAACGTAATGCAGTAAAGTATTAACTCCTATTGAATTATACAAGGATTTACCTGATACTGCATTAAAGCTACATGCCTCCAGCTGAGTCAAAATATTTCAATAAAATAAAACTTGAGAAAAATGTACTAGGACGTAAAGAAAAGTAAAAAGTTTCAAGATTCAAGTATATTTTTACATATTATGTGCGATTAATGACTGATTTTTAAGTATTTACAACCATATTTCTTCTGCGTTACTAACGCAGTAAAGCTATTTATGCATATTTTGATCACTTTTTGTAATTTACGTGGTTTGTCAGTGCCAATGATAATGTGCAAATTGCGTCCTTTTGGTTACCTCACAATAATACACATTCAAATATATTTTCAAACTTTTCATAATATTAGCATGATTCTGGAGGCGTGCTGCTTTAAGGTGACTTTATAGACTAAACTAATTACTATATCATAAAATTATCATATTGTATTAATCTGAAAATATTTAGATGTTTACATTATAGCACATGGTGCATGTAGCTATCTAAGCAGTAAGGGTATTTATAAACTTTAAAATTTGGCAAAGTTATTTAACCTTCATAAACAAACAAAAAACAAAAAAAACAAATCTTTCAAAGAAAATTGTGTGAAATCATGCAAAAACATGCAATCAATATCGAAACCAAGCTTTTTTTAAACCAAGAGCAGTTCTTTTGAAACTCAGAGCAGTTCTACCCTTTTCTTAAAACTTATCTTTTCATATGAATTGACTATTTTAGGCAATGTAAACACTGATATTATAATGTGGCAAGTATCCAGATGTTAATGGTGATCATATACCCAAAGCAAACCTTCAGTATTTTTTCAGATGCAGAATTATCTACTTCTTACAAGCCATTTCAATATAATATTCTCAAATTTCAAAATTTTATATCCTTGTTATAATTTGATTAAAGATTAAAACTTACAGCTATGAGAGGTAAATGTTTATGTATAAGTGTAACAAACACACCCTTTAATTGTAACTTTGGTTCAACAACCCTGTGGCAGTGCCAGGAGTAGTAGAGGAATAAGGTTTTTTTACATTGACAGTCACAGGACTGTCAGGGCTATACAACAGTTTGGTGATGACACCTTAACAGCTACCCTGGACAGACCTTTAACCAGGGGTTTAATCTTTACCAGGGTTTTGATAATCAATAAGCCAAAGTCTCTCCTATTTCCTGGAGTGAGGAGCTATGTTGATAATCAACTCACTGTTTCATAAGTTACAGCATATCACAGAAGCTCTTTCAAATGTAATCACATTCGTATTTGTAAAACATTATCCTCAAAGTCAATTTGGTAACTTTTCTTATAATACAGGAATCTTTAAAGATATACTATTCTCAAATTTGGTATTAGAAAATATTGACAATTGCTACACAGTCTCTTTGTAAATATATAATAAACATGTTTTGACTTCCTACAAAGTAGAAACTTGTATGTTATGTTTAAAATTGCTACACAGTCTCTTTGTAAATATATAATAAACATGTTTTGACTTCCTACAAAGTAGAAACTTGTATGTTATGTTTAAAATTCTACACACTATAGGTGGTCACAATATGAATGTCATAAATGGGTGTCATTTAATTAACCTGTAATAGGGAAGTTAGACATATTCAGAAAGAATTTCATAGATTTCAATTAATTTCTGTGGCTAAAATATTTACTCAAGGATGAGCATAGTATATCTTTAAAAACTGGAGATGAAAAAATTACTAACCTGGAAACAGACAATCTGTGTCATCCAGGCACTGTACTGCATACTCACAAGCATCTTTATTATTTAACCTTATTACAAATGGTAAAACTGTTAACTATAATCACTAATAGACACTATTATCAGAACTTTATTATACAGGACAGAATTTTTATCATTTTCATTTAAAATGCTCTGATTTCATTACCAATGATAATACGAATTTATTTGTACACACTACTATCTTTACAGTTGTTTGTTTATTTTTCTTTCTTATTTTCCTATCTTCTGCAAGCTTAAAGCTAATGTTTTGTACTGTTAACCATAACCGACTATAAATAAAGCTTGTATTACTGTCTTACATGCAAATTGATATTTGATGATAAAATATGATTTTTAACTCATTTACAATAAAATGTATGTAAAACATATCCTCTCTTTCAAGGAAACAAAACACAAATAAAATACCATAACCAACAAAAAACCAAAACATGACAGTGTCAGCATCCTATATACTCATGCTAAAAATGTTATTGTTTATGATAATATTATTTCTCTTTTAATTTCACCTAAGAATTACTATTTCATGTTTATACATATACATTGTATAATATTATTTTACTTACTTAAACCTCACAGATGTCCCAGAGTCAATTGCTCTAATTTGAAAGTCAATGACAGTTCCAAATCCAGCCACCATACCCTGAAGTTCACTTATGTCACACGCCTCAGGTAAACCATCAACCTATTAAAGAGAAGTTTTGACTTGTTAACACCATCAACTTTATCCTTGATATATTTGTATAATGTGCAGGGCAATTGCTCTGGGCACACTCAATTCAAATGTTAATGTACATATTACTGCTGTCAGTTAAAGTTGGGAGGTACCTTTCAAAATATGGGAGTACACTGTAAATCATGTTTTAGTTATTTTACTAATTTATGTTAATACACACACTTTTTGCTGAAATAAAATCCTCATGTTATTAAGGATCCGTCATTGCCATGTCTTGAATTTGAGTCTGTATAATTATTGTCATTTAGTATAATTCCTTAATCAAAATAGTAAAATAAAAAAAGGAGACTTGCTCTCACCCCTTAATCAGGGCTCTCGATTGACACGGGGATCCGGGTTTTGACTCGTGAAAATCGGGAAATGCACAAATTTGACACGTGATAAAATCTGCTCAAGAGTCAATTTGCCACATGGGATTTTCAGCTATGCAATAATAATTACCTTAAATCCACCCCTAATTACCTATCAAATCCTACATATGTTCAAATCACACTCATTAAAAATGTCAACAGGCAGTATAAGCCGTGTATAAAATGCTTTACACACTGCAATTGTTTATAGCCTGTGCACTGAAGCGCAACAATTCAGTGGCTGCAATTTGACAGCGCTAAAAATAGCTCTACACAACTGATAAGAATTACATACTTGAGGTGTCAATTATTGATTGCTTTTAAAGGTTTATAATACGTCTTTGACCTGTGTATTTGTTATTTTTCCATTTAATATTCCTGGTACATTTTGGTATTTTATAGCATACCAGTAAAGATATTTTTTTTTATATTTGATACATCATACATTTAATCACAGCAATTCATTTTTTTGTTTTATTTGTGTTTTTTTGGTTTTTATTTTTTAAGGTGGAAATTTATAATTAGGCATTTTTTCTGTCAATTTAGACTTTGAAATCTCCAAAAATGACCTCCAATACAGTCATTTTTGTAACATAAAAATGATTCATGTAATCAAATGACACTAGAAAAAAATGATTTGACTCATGAAAATTTTGGCCAAAGAGTCTTTGACTCGTGAAATTCTGACCCTACTGAGAGCCCTGGCCTTAATTAATACATGCAAAACATTTCTAGAAAAAAAAATCTCATGAAAAAATTAAAATACTTTCTGAATTCACTACCTGGATAGCATTTGTTCCATAAATCCTCCAAACAGATTTGTCTTTTGTATCAGTGCTGAAATTCCTTTTTGAAAATGTTGGAGAAGTCCTCTTTTTTGACTGTTTTCGTACAACTTTCTGAAATCCATTTAAATCATTGTCCAGCCTATTGTTATTGAAAACTGGACTAACCGGCTCACTTTGCAGATCTATTTTGTCTAACTTTGCTATTTGATCTTCTGCTTTTTGTTTTTCACAATAATTTTCTTTTACTCCACACTCTTCCTTTTTATCACTAGACTGTATATTAACATCCATTTCTATCTGTAAACTATCACTTTCTTCACCTTCTATATGTCCTTTATCACACTCATGAATCTTTTCATCTCCACAATTAACAAATCTATTGGATAGTTCAACAGTTTCACTGTCAGCATTATTATTTGTACTGACTACCACATCAGTATCCTCAATATCTTCCATCAAGCTTTTACATTCCCTATTGTTTTCATTATCAACATTATTCTCACTAGGTGAATTTAAATTTGACATATCAGATACTACTGAGGCATTGGACACAATACTTTCTAAGTTTTTATTGGACAAAACCTCTTTACTACCTGCACCTTCACCTGAGTCTTCAACTGTTTTATTTTGATTATTAAAATAAGCCTCTGGATTTTCACAATAACTATCCATAGCTTCTAGAAGATTAGCCAGATGGCCTTTAACTTTAGGAGGAACTTTAGCTGCTGCCTTGGATTTCTTTATGTCATCAAGTGTCACAGCATATCTCTCATAAAGAGGAAGATCATCTAAATTTTCGGAAGTACTGCATGTCATATCTAAACTTGAACAGCTGCTTTCTGTATCACTCTCTCTGAGAAATTTCTCTATATTATGCTGTGTCAAAGAATAAACTTTAGGCCCTGATTTAACAATGGGAAATTCTTGCAAAAGTTTTTGATTCGCTTTTGTGAAGTCAAACTTTTCCTTCTTTTCTTTTTTCAGGAGTTTGGGTTTATTTAACACTGTTTCAACAGATGAATGGTGTATTTTGTTAACAGGAAAGGACAGTCTTGGTTCTTCAGCTTCAAGATTATTTATTTCAGGGTCAACCTCATTGGTCGTTACAATGACATCCTTATATTCCTGTGAATCACCAATCATACTCCTGCACTTCTTTTTTGGAGAACCTTCTGTAGTGTGTTCTGAAAATTGTAAACCAAATAAATGATTACAGATCACAAATAGTAACAAAAAAGAAACCATTCTACATGAACTTCATAATTCAAACTTTTTCTTACATGTAAACAAGTCAAAGAATGTTGGTTTGGATTATATGTTGAAGTTTCAATATGCTATTGGAAGAACACCTATGATACTGATTAATATATTATTTCAGGTAATAATTAAAATCTAGGTAACACCACTGACTCACCTCTAGCCAGCTGGGCAACATTACATAAAAGAATTAAATGAGCCGCATCACAACAAAACCAACGTAATGATTTTGCAACCAGCATGGATCCAGACCATCATGCGCATCCGCGCAGTCTGATCAGGATCCATGCTGTTGGCTACCCTATTACAAACCCCATTACAAGTAGAGATACCGATAGCGAACAGCATGAATCCTGAGCAGACTATGCAGATGTGCAGGCTCGTCTGGATCTATGCTGGTCGCAAATGCACTATGTTGATTTTGTAATGACGCGGCTCATATATATTAATTTTAAGAAATTCAAGGCCCATCAAGCCTACAGAATGTTTATATCTTATTCAAAAGCTTTTTATTTTTGGTGTCATGGTACAGTTTTCAAAAAGTTCTTATTGGCGATATACCTGAGACATGTTTAGCTTGTTAATGAAATGTGTTTTGGCAATTAGTGCAGTTACAGTGATTGTGTATAGAAATCAAAATACGACTATATTTACATTATGCTACCTTTATGACAAATTATTTTACACTCAGTGCTTTTCCAAAATGTGAAAAGTATCTGAAAAGTTCTAAATACATTATTACATAATAAAATTATGAAACACATATAAATTTCTCTTCCCTTTCTACAGGAAGAGAAAAATATTTACTTCTGAGGCTTATTGCGCCTTTAAAATAATGACCTAAAAACATGTACCTATTCCAAGGCTAGGAAAATCATTTTGTCTCCATTGATGGTTGTACGTTGGATCATTCCTCTCATTTATTTGGTTATCATCATAAATTGTCTCAGTTACTTCCCTTTTTATAGGTTTTTCCTTTTCTTTCTGTTTTGAAAAAATAAAATACATCATTATTACAAGAGGGCCATGATGGCCCTGAGTTGCTCACCAGAAACAACTGCTTTTAAGTGTTGGAAATTATCCATTGCCAATATTTTCTAATGTTAAATTTGAGCATAGATTATCTTTAAACAATAATTTGAAGAAATGCCATGACCTGGGGCATTTAAGCTTTAGCTTAAACAGGGCCAATCAAATTAATATGAGCAAACTTGATAAAAGACTACCTAAGAATGCTAAAAAGAAAATTTGGTGATCATCAATCCATTAGCTCTGTAGAAGGAGATGTTTAAAGGTATTTCTATCTTTAGCTTTAGCTGCCCCTTAATATTATATAATAATAATTATATTATATCAATTATATATTAATTTGAGCACACTTGATAAAAGACTACATAAGAAGGCTACAGACAAAGTTTGGTGATCATCCATCAATTATTTCAGTAGGAAATCGAGGGTTAAAAGGTAAAAGGTAATAACTGCCATTTTCAAGATTTCGAGAAAAAGGCAAAAAACATATTTTTTTAATACAACTTTATTTTCCGTAATATTGTTATAACAATTTTGATTCTCCCATATTTGTTGACTACATTAGATCATATTTTGTTTAGTTTACATTGCTTGGTGCTGATAAAACACTGTAATTATAGTTTGTTTTAAAGTTCTAAGATCAAAATAATATCATTTTACAGAAGTAAAAGGTAATAAATGTACTTAGATCCTGTCAAGACTACAAGTTTGAGCGGTAAAAGGTAATAACTGCACTTACGACCTTTTACTTCTGAAGGTTTAGCAATAAAAGTTAGAGATAAACTGTGGTAAAAGGTTATAAGTGCAGTTATAGCCTTGTTCCTCTGAAAAATTTAGATGTTGCAGTAATTGTAACTGTTGCAAATTTATCAATTATGTCCTTACTTTGAAACCTTACGTAATGTAATTAACACACATGCACAATAATACTCGTACACAAAATTAACACTTTTCATTCATAGAAATATGAAATATGTACCTGCTCAATATTTAGATTCTACAGAAATAAATTAATAACTAAAAAGTTTACGAAAATACGCACTAAAATCTAAGTTTACAAATTTCATTTATTTTGAATGTTCTCTGGTATATAATCGAACTGAAGTCAAACAGACCCCAGACATCAGCAATTAAGGATATTAGTGACCCATAATCATAGTTAAGTAAATAAAGACTACTGTTTCATGTCACAAAATGTGAATGTTTTGTCATTAATTATTCTATGACCTCCACTCATCTTCTTCACTCTCACTAACAGAAGGCACTGAAAGTTTGTCTTTTATAGATTTGCTGCATGGCAATGACTCATAGTATGATTCGCACTCCTTCGGAATTGTTCCAGAGGCAACAAGTGACATCAAATCAGCTTTTGCAGCAGATATTGGAAGCTTCTCTGTATAAGCCTTTCGTGGAGCCTTAAGAGACTTTTCTTTGCTTCTGTTCTTCTTCTGCATTTACCTAACTGCCTTGAACTCACTAACCACAAAACCATAGCTCACAACAATACTGTATTTTTGTCTTTATCTCTCTCCAGTCATTACGTCATTTGATAACGTCACATGTTTAGCAGCAAAACAAAACTACATATAGATGTTATTTTATCGGGGAAAAAGAAGAATGAAACCATTTAATTATTCTAAAAACATTATTAAAAGCAGGATAAAACAAATACATGGTTGATGTCGGGCTGGAGAAGGTTTATCCGGTTCACTGCGAAAGTGATTCTTGGCTTGCTAAAGCTCGCCAAGATACACTTTCTAGCTCACCGGATAAGCCTTATCCATCCCTAAATCAACCATGTTTTTTATATATATTCAGCCAATTAACACATTCACCATCAACATCGATTTTCATTGAGCCAAAGTTTTGTTCTTTGTACAACTTGTAATCTAGTATGTCATTGTATTTTATTAGAACGACAATATATGGTTGCTTCCGGCGTGCTTATGATATAACTGTTTCCCACTGCGATGGAACATGAACTATTGTAAGGCTTTTTGCATGCTTGATAGATGCATGTATGGAATTTGCATTCCATTAATGAATGGCCAATTTCAAGAAATGTGTGGTTTTACCATTGATGTGAGGTATATCTGGACACAGTGAACTAAGCAACTTGCAACAAACTGATTGCAATTCTGTCCTCCACATTCATTACTTATATAATGTCACTTCTTCAATACCAGATGTCTTACTTGCAACAGAGGTTACATACAAGTACACAAAAGTTCCTACTTTGCACGAGCCTGGTTTCCCCATGTGTCTCATCCAACAGAGTCCCGTTACCATTTCCCAGTTCATAGAATGACAAATTGCAACAACACAGTTTTCTTTTGTAACGAAGATCACCAATTAAACTGAGTGGTGTTTTCAAAATAGCCTGGATATCAAATGCCGACACAGAAAACTTTGGATCTTTCTTTGTGCGTTTTTTATCGGCTGATTTTTGCATTCTTGCACTGTTTTTTTTCTTTTTGGTCATTTATTGTACTTGATATTTTGCTTTTGTTGCCTCATCTAGTCTATCTTCCATTCTCAAAATGTCATACAGATTGCAGAGTGGACATTGATCTTTCTTAGGACGGAAAAAAAAGTTATATTCTGTACTAAAAATGATTCTGTACACAGCCTCTGAAACACACTTTCTATTTTGTCCTTTGCATTTTTCTACATACAGTGAGTATATTCGTTTTATATTTAAATCTTGCGTTAGATACTTCCTGTTGGGGTCTTCGTGTGTAGTGTGATTCAACAGTCGGAAAGCTTTCGTTGTGTTTTCTTTACAAATGATCTGTGATATTCCGTGGTTTTATTTCCAGGCACAGCTTTCCCTCTCTTGTCATTTCCAACATATAACCCTGCCACTTTGTGCTTAACTGTGCTTGCAACTGTTTTGGAACCGACATCGATAGTTTTTAGTAAAAAATTCAGGAAACAAAGTGATCCCTCGGAAGCATTAATCACAACAAAATTACATAAAAATTGCAGACTCGGTTTGATTGAGTCTGTACATGAGAGATAATGAATAAGTGCAACATCCCTCACGCCCTCTTTTCTACCTGTGTGAAAAAACGAATTCGAAATAGGTTTTTGTTTTGTTCTCTGTTTAGATGCATTCTCTGGTTCTATATTGGCAACATGGAAACAAATGAATTGCCTCTGACTTATGTAATCACCCATTGACCAGTATGTACTGAATATTTTCTGTCTTTCATATTCGGTAATATTCTCGTTGCATTTAATTCTAAAAGATAAATTTCGTGGGAAAAGAGATAACAGATAGTGCCTGTGAACTATATGAATGCAGCATTCTGTCAAGGGAAAAAAGGTGATAAAATCAGTTATATAACCTTTTTCCACTACAGATTCTTCATAACATGTGGAACAACAAGTAAACAACAGGTAATAAGTACACTTAGAACCTTTTACCCCTAAATAATTTGTAGAAAAGAAGTTATTACAAAATACTTTTTTATTTTTTTGCCCTTATAAGGATTGAATATTTATATAATATTTTCGTCAGACATAAAGGACAATAAGTACATTATAAAAAACATAAAAAGTCAATTTCGGCAAAAGTGGCAGTTATAACCTTTTACCTTTGAACCCTCGAAATGATGTTCAAAGGTTTTTCTATTTTTAGCTTTAGTGGCCCCTAAAAGGGGCCAATCAAATTAATATGAACAAACTTGATAAAGACTACCCAAGAATGCTACAGACAAAGTTTGGTGATCATCCATTCACTAGTTCTGTAGTAGAAGATGTTTAATGGTTATCTATTTTTAGCTCTGTTGACCCCTTAAAGGGGCCCATTGAAATGACATGAGCAAATTTAAGTGTGACTGTCACAAGGATGCTACAGACCAAATTTGAAGTAAATCTGCCCAACAGTTTCAGAGAAGAAGACGATTGTTGATGCATGATAACAGACGATGGACGCTGGAGCATCCCCCTTTAATACTAATAGCTCACCCTGAACCTTCGGTTCTGGTGAGCTAATAACGAAATGCAATGGAAAATTTCAACATATTTTGAATACATAATGAAAGCAAACAAAACCATCGCTTATAATCATTTTGAAATTTTAACCGGCCACATACTAACTTATCATTTTGAAAATAGACTTGGCATGGATTTTAATGTAAAATGTAAAATAAAGTGTTTTTAGGGATTTAAAAATAAAAAATACTAAAACAGAGTAGCCTGAAGTATATAAATTGGCTAAGCTTCACAAATAAGCAGGCTTGATATTACATTCATTCACATAATTACTAAAACACAGCAGCTTTACAGTTTCAAGATATGAGTCCAAGCAGAAAAAATACCTACACAAGGTCCAGAATGTGATAATGGACAGGCACATATTGATGGTATTTCAAAGGTCTTATCTCCTTACTCATATACACCTTAATGCAAAGTGTCATTACAATCTAATTATAAAATATAGATCTGTCTTGAATGAGGGACAATGCCATTTCAATAATCCCCTTCAGTGTGATAGATTAACCCTTTACCTCATATATACGCGAAACAACGCATTTTCGACACCCCCCCCCCCTTTTTTTAGGCCTGAAATAGTGAAATAATGTCCTATTTGGGCCCCAAACACATGTTTTTGTTTGAGAAATGTTGCTTAAAAAAGTGAGCACTTTTTCGGTATCCAAAAGATACATTAGGGGGTTGCCAGAAGGGGGATGTGCCCCCTTCTGTTTGGGAGGTTTGAAGGTGGGGCAGAGTCCCGCTCATTGCCAAGGAAATTTTGGACTTGTGAGAGGCTTAAAATGACCCCAGGTCATAAGGTAACGTGTAACCAACGCTGAACATTATTTATACTCGAATTCTCAATATGCAGAGAAAGATTGCCTATGTTATTTATTTTACATTTTGATCCAATTATCATGCACGTGGTCTTTTCTGGATTTATGGCCATATTATTGAGAGTGCACCATTCCTGTATTTTTAGTAAGTCTAGTTGCAACTCAGACTGTATATTACTCAAACTTTGGTCAGCTATGTGTAATGTTGAATCGTCTGCATACATATCAATTAGTATTAAAGCATTGATCATAGTTTCATAGCAGTTTGAACTTGTAACAGGAGGCTTTTCAGTGAAAATGGCCATTTTTCACAATATGCTCATGGGGAAAAGGGTTAATAGTCTGTAAACTGAAATTATTATCATTATATTTTCAAACAAGAGGGCCATGATGGCCCTGAAGTTGCTCAACTGTATATAGGCACCAGGAGCGGGACCAGTTTAAACCCCGGGGCTTTTATTTGAACACACTTGGTAGACACCCATTAGAAGATGTTTCATGCTAAACATCTAAGGTCTAGCTCGTTGGGTTTTTTAAAAGAGGATTTTTTTTAAGTTTTTTCTTTACACATATAGTTAAAAACAATGACACATCTGGGGCAGGGCCAGTTTTGACCCCAGGGCTTTTATTTGAACAATCTTTGTAGACACTTACTAGAAAATGTTTCATGCTTATATCTAAAGTCTAGCTATTCCGGTTTTTTCAAAGAAGATTTTTAAGTTTTTGCTATAGACATATAAGGAAAATCAATGTCCCTTGGGGCAGGGCCAATTTTGACCCCATGGCTTTTATTTGAACAAACTTTGTAGACACTCACTAGAAGATGTTTCATGCTTAATATCTAAACTCTAGCTATTTGTTTTTTTTATCAAAGAAGATTTTTTATTTTTTTACTGTATACGTATAAGGAAAATCAATGACCCCCAGGACGGGGCCAATTTTGACCCCAGGGCTCCAATTTGAACAAACTTGGTAGAAATCCATTAGAACATGTTTCATGCTAATTATCTAAGCTCTAGCTCTTGGGTTCTTTAAAAGAAGAGATTTTTAAAATTTTACTATATGCATATAGGGAAAATCAATGACCCCCTGGGGCGGGGCCAATTTTGACCCCAGCGCTTTTATTTGGACAAACTTGGTAGACACCCATTAGAAGATATCTTAAGCTAAATATCTTAGCTCTAGCTCTTTGGGTTCCTTAAAAGATTTTTTTTTAAGTTTTTGCTATATACATATAAGGAAAATCAATGACCCCCAGGGCAGGGCCAATTTTGACCCCAGGGCTTTTATTTGAACAAACTTGGTAGACATCCATTAGAACATGTTTCATGCTAAATATCTTAGCTCTAGCTCTTTGGGTTCCTTAAAAAAAGATTTTTAAGTTTTTAATATATGCATATAGGGAAAATCAATGACCCCCTGGGGCGGGGCCAATTTTGACCCCCAGGGCTTTCATTTGAACAAACTTGGTAGACACCCATTAGAACATGTTTCATGCTAAATATCTTAGCTCTAGCTCTTTGGGTTCTTTAAAAGAATTTTTTTTAAGTTTTTTCTATATGCAGATAGGGAAAATCAATGACCCCCTGGGGCGGGGCCAATTTTGACCCAAGGGCTTTTATTTGAACAAACTTGGTGAACACTCACTAGAAGATGTTTCATGCCAAAAATCTAAGCTCTAGCTTTTTGGGTTTTTTTAAGAAGAAGATATTTAAAGTTTTTTTCTTTTGGTTGCCATGGCAACCAGAGTTCTGCATGGAATTAAATTCTTTGAACAATTTTCAAAGGTGACCACCAAAGGAACATTCCTGTGAAGTTTGGATGAAATTGCCTAAGTGGTTTATGAGGAGATGTCATTTAAAGTAAAAGTTTACGGACGACGGACGAACGACGGATGGACGCAGGACGAAAAGCGTTCACAAAAGCTCCCCTTGTCACTTTGTGACACTGGTGAGCTAAAAAGACTGCATGTTTATTATTATAATAATACCTGTTTTAATCCATGAGGTCTGCTAGATTTTGCTCTATCTTGAAGGATCCGGGCCCGTCCTCTACTACCACGCTGTTTTCCTGAACTAACAGAGTCCTTTAATGCATACAAAAAATCATAATCATAAAATATTAAAACTGCCAGCCTGACTATCCTCAGTGCTTGATAATAAAACAAGTGCCTGGATAATGTAGAATTTTCTAAGTTAAAAATGGCCCATAATTCTGTCAAAATCAATCCTGAAGTTAGGTGCCTTGGATAGTGACCTTCTTTCATGGTTTCAAATAGTGTTTAAGTTTCAACCTTTTTCTTTGGACATACCAATGTGAATGCAAAAACTTTACCAAAATCTGCTCTCACCCTTGGTTCAGTACAATAATAGCTCTCCCTATTCTTCAAATAGTCCAGCTAATAATTAACATTACTCTATGGAAAAATATTGTAAATGATCCTTAATAGGGGTTTGGATCGTCGGATAAGTGACGATCCGATCCGATCCACGATTCAGTACTTACGATTCACAAATCAAACCACAAATCTTTTGTTATCAAGACACCCATAAATATGTACATAAGTTCTAAAAACATGTTTATTTTAAAAAAAAACAATACTAAACGATAAACATATATGCAACCAGGTTTATGTTTTTGTTCTTTGGATGAGTATTTTTGATTTGTTTTTGAAACCAATTACTTCCTAGCTCGGCATAATGGTACATGGTCTTTAACCGGCAAATTGTATTTAGGTTAACTTCCCATAATTTATACTCAAATAGTATTTTTGTCGACTTTTAGTGTGTGACAAACAGTGAATGTATATAAACAAATAAGATAGAGATCCACGATCTCTGGGCTTACGAATATTGAAACTCGATTTTTCAATTTGATTCGTGATTATCCGAGTACTCGAATACTCGCCCCAGCCCTAATCCTAATAATTATTTTATTTTATATGAATTATCATAGCTGCGATTTAGATTTAACTAGAAAGTATTGCTTAAAATTTTTAAAAACATTAATATAACTGGGAACAATAATGAATAAGTGTAAAAAGAAAATATATATTAGTATGTAATATTTTTTGTTTAAACATAATAAACATAACTGCTTTGTTCTGTATATCTGTGGCTACAGGTTTAAATAATTGTTTCATAAATTATTTGCCTGACAATTCTAGTAATGTACGGTAGTTTTCTTCAAAGTGTTACAGGGAAAGAAGTAAAGCTAATTTTCAGGTTAATACTTACATCTAGAAGTTTCATCCTTTGAATCATTGCTGTAAGAGGTAGACGGGGTACAATTCGATGGTCCATACTGCCTCTACCCCTTTTCCTACAGCATATCAACTCTTCCTGCTCAACAAGGTCTGGACCTTGACCTTGTAGAGGTAAGTAATCTAACCAATCTGCGTCCATTCCTTAATTATATAAAAAAAAATACACAATTAATGATAAGATGCCAAAGAGTTATTTGTTTTTTGTTTCAATTGGATAACAAAAATTATAAAAAAAAAACCTGCAAAATACATATTCCTGATAATAGAAATAAATGAAAACCAGCTAAATACATATCCCTGTACGACAATTACAACTTTAAATTGTAAACCATTTGACCATATTGTACAATATTATACATGTGTCATATAGAAATTTTTTAAGTTTTCAGTACAGCTCCACAACAGATGTTTTAAACAAACTCCCAATCTACTTCTCCGATAAATACCTGTAACCACTACAATAGAGTTTTGGGGAGTATCTAGGTGTTATCGCAGATATTCTAAGAGACAATTACTATTATAAGTTGATATTATTTTGTCATTATGATATCCTTTGCTTATTTATTCATTCAATATCAGAAAAAAATAGTATTTCTTTCATGACCCGAGTCAAACAATCATTTTTTACAGAGCATGGTTCTGCTGACCCAATATATGTATTTTAATGTTTATACTGTATTTTGCATTTTTTTTCCAGGACAAGAAATCTGTATTTCAATTAAGGTGTATGTTTTGAACCACATTCAAGATATCAGAAAAATAGGTTCATTCCCATAAGCAATTTTTTTTTCATTTTCTTCTTTTTAATTTCAATCATCTGTAAATGTGTCAATAACAAAAACTATAACATCACTATTTTTTAACTTTAAAGAAATACAGGACATTCAGTAAAGTTTTGAAAATTGTATGTTTACAATTCTGAATATTTTTATCTCCATGCTTAATAAATGACTTCACAGATAAATGGGTAAACAACAAAAATTACAACCGCCACTACTTTTAAATATTTTTCAAAAATAAGACATTGGTTAACTATATATTAACCATTTCTTAATTCAGTCCCATTTCCAACCTAAATTAATATATAATTATTGTTCCCTAATTATATATAAATTTATCACACACCTGTGCCGATTTTGAGACTCCGTAAATATGGTATTGCACGGCCGTGCATATATTTTGACGTGACATAATAAGCGTTATACAAACATAGTGTAAAGACGCGCTAAATGTTAGCGTTATACTATAGGCGGGTCGATGAAAAATGACTCTTATCTCACTTTAACTGTCTTTATTTTGGGTATGTGATAGATAAAATATTAAATGAGTGTAAGTTCATTACTGAATTTATTGCACTTGTTGAATAAAATAATATTATGCTCGCCAGACGCTCGTATAATATTATTTTATTCAACTCGTGCAATAAACTCAGTATTGAACTTACACTCATTTAATATCCTCTATATATTGATGATATATAAAAAGCAATAATATAAATTAAACAGTATGTATGTAGTATAATTTATACTGAATAAAACCATTTTTGACATGGTCTTTTTAAAACAAAGTGATGGAAGAACATACATAATAAGTGGCATACATAAAATTATGGAAAAAAAAACTGCTTTAATCAAATTTAAACTTATATATACATTTGACATATGCATTTGATACTCCAAATGCTGCTTATCTTTATTATTCAAAGTACCAATGTCACAGCTTTTATGTGTAAACATGATCAATTTCACACCTGCAATGTCCGGAATATCTGCAAGGTAACAGATTATGATTCATATCTTGAACTATTTACACATTTAAGTTATAGTTTGTACTAAATCATTGATTTTTTTGCTGTTTATAAAACTGTTTTTGTTAATCATTGCAACGTCCTTGCGATAGTTGTGACTTTCCTCTCATCACCCGATCGGGTGAAAACGATTTTAAAGAATTGTTGGATATTGATCATGTCAATTATTGACATATTATTAATCCTAAGTGCATTTTCATTGTGATGTATTTTATTTACAGTATTTACGCAAATGGAACTTCAAAACTACCAATTTTTATACATATACATATGATGTTACGGCCGTTTTTAAAGCAATAGAGTGTTACTGATTATTTTCTAAAAAGACTACATTGTACACAAATGTGAACATTTATATAAAAATGCCATATTTATACCGGCAAAATCTCAGTGAATTTCCACCAGGGACTGCAGGGATTTTTTAACCAGTCTGCAGTGATCTTCCACTATGACTGACCATAGAATGTCCGCCGTGATTTTCCACACACTGTTAAAAGTATCCTCAGTGACAAAAAATGGAAAGTACAAAAATCGCTTGAGCTGTACTGTATCTATTGGAAAGAAACAAATTAATAAAAGTTTATTCATATTTACAAGCAACAATTACTTTTTAATTATTTTCATTTTCATTAATTCTTTGGCACAATCTGAAAGAAAAATCATGGAGGACTGAAACTGTTTGCCAGTAAAATAATGTCCCTATTGGCAAAGTTTTGTCTCCTGTCGTAACAGCACTTCCAAGACTTGTAAAGTTTAGGGAAATTCTCTAACAGCACTTTGGGATGGTAAAGAGTCAACTCTGCCCTATACCAACTCTGCACGGTCAACTCAGCACAGGTCAACTCGGCCCCCTTTTGAAAAAATATATTTAAGGGGAGCGGTGGCCTAGTGGTTAACCGTTAAGGTGTCTGCCTCTCAACCCAGAGTTCATGGGTTCAAGCCCTACTCGAGTCATGACCATGTTTCTCCATATGACACCAGTACTGGTTGGTTCCAGGAAGCGGACTCGAAAGTGATTAATATAAGTTGCAAGAACTTGTTTCGCAATCAAGCTTAAATAAATATATTTAAACCAAAAACATATTTAACATATTAACTTTTTTTGATTACTTGCATGTTATAAGCTGCATAGGCAAGCTGTTTTAATTGAAAAATAAGAGATATATATCTGGTATATTATTATATGATTAATACATTGCACTTTTGCAGAATTTGAGTATATTTGGAAGAAATTTTTTTACATTTATTCTTGAATTAATATAATACAAATGTGTCCCCTTTGATGCTTTTTGTTTGTAATCTTCAATAAAAGCTGAAATAAAAACATGTTTACTTATTATATAATTAAATATTTAAAATTTTTGTTCTTTATCCTATATATATACATAAAACAACATGTAATGCATTTGTTAACATGCAATGTATTTTGCAATGTCATAAGGATGGATTGTAATGATCTTTTATAACCCAAATCATTGAAAACTATTACATTACCAAAAAATGTAATAATAATTTAAGAAAACATCTTAGTTTCCATGTTTGTGAATAAGTCCATATTTCAATTATATGGTTCCAACAATAAAGAGTGTTTAACCAAGCCAATATATTGAAAAGTGGGCCGAGTTGACCCGTGCTGAGTTGCAATAGGGCCGAGCTGACTCAGTGGCCGAGTACGTTTTAGGGCCGCCGGCCGAGCTGACCCTGATTCCTTTGGGATCATGCACCCTATCACTTCTGAAAAAAGTCAACAGTCAAACTTAACAGTCGTTACTTAAAGTCAATTGATGTCTAAGTCACCAAATAGAAGTTTAAAATAAATGGGTGAAAATTTTAAAAACAACTAATCGACATGTTTATCCGAAATTTTTACATATCCGATATAACAACATGTCTAGTAACAAAGCAGCACCATACTTCACTTCTAGCATCGCTTGAACTGTCTAAGAATATCTTTGTAAGATAACATTATGTAACCAAAATTGGTTTACCTACCTTTCACCTGTTTAATTCGAAGAATTTTGAACAGATAATAGATTCTACAGAAAATTTGTTTAATCTATGTCACTTGGAAGCTTTATAGGAAATGTAATGATTCACCCCTAAATTATTCGCTCCATTTGTTATGTAACAGTAACGAAATATAATAAATATGGACTGAAAAGCGATAAATGACTTAAAAGAATAAAACATAAACTGCATATGTAAAAATGACGATTAAAAGTTTACAAACTGATAAAAAAAACGACACAGAACTGATAATAATTTGTTCAATGACTTCTGACAACGGTACAGCACAGGAACTTGAAATTCTATCAAATAACCAATATTAATGATAATATCCAAATATACCCCCTATATACTATAAATAAAGGAATTTGGAGGTTACGTACCATGGAGGTTACGTACCACTGCATAAATGTACCATTTTTGGAGGTTACGTACCACTATAGAAATATATAATAAAGTGATAATAATAGGGATAAGGTGTGAAACTATATCACGTTTATTGTTCAAATTCGCGCATTAATTGTATTTTGTAATGAGATTAAATATGTATGAATATATAAGAATAAACAACAAACCGCAATTAACGATAATAACAAGTTTTATTTACAACACAAAACTGAAAATAATTAATAACAATAATATAATTACACGCACTAAACTGAAATGAACAGTACAATGAAACAAACCACAGCTAATATATAAAAAAAAACATTTTTTTTTCATTTATAGTATTATTGTTTTATTTATACGCATTTAACTCAAATTAACTGAAATAAACAAAATAATCAAAAGCAATAATAATATTTCATATGCATGTTAATAAACCGGACAAAATTACTTACCTTGAATAAAAAAAAACTAAACAAGCGTTACATATTTTATCATTTATACATTACATTTAGTTTCATTTACACGTTAACTGAACTGTGCATAAAATGAAAATAACAATAATTATGTTACACGCTCTGAAATGAAACAACAATACACAATTAACAAGTATTTTTAAAAATATGTGCCAGCCGTTGCTCGACTTCCATCATGCCAGCTACAGCACTCGTAGTGCCGTGTAACATTGCTGGAACTTAAAGGTGGTCTACTTCTTATTGAGTTGTCAACAACCTGAAATTAAATATTAATAAGTTTTCTTATTAAGAAAGAAATTATGCATGCATGCTTTCTGTAAAAGTTGATCGCCGCAAAATTTCATTTTAAAAAATCAGTATTACGTACTAACCGGAGACTTGCAATTATAAATCAGTGTATTCAATCATATGTCAATAGTTTGCAATTTGTTTGTGATTTGTTAGATTACTCATTTCTGAATGTGTGATAATCATACATAGATATAGGTAAAACGTTTGCATTTAAATTAATTGCTCTTATGTGATTTTTAAAAAGTAATATTAAAGTTATAATTCGGTCTTTTTTTATAATTGTTATGCTCTATATTATTTGTATTTTATATAAATTATATAATTATATATATTTTTTATCGGTACTCTACAATATACGTGTACATACAGTCACTTTTCAATGAAAACGGAGAAGATATACGAATAAAATAAACATTTACAAAGTTGATCCTGTTAGTAAACAGATAAAATTTTATAACGGCTATGGGTTATAAAAATGATAACATGTTTAAGTTACACCCCTGACTGTCATAGCAGTGTATCATTTATATCCGCTTGCTGGATTTATTAATCTTAGGAAAAAATGATAACGTGTGTGAGAACAATCTGTTATTCGTGAAATTAATACTTTTGGTTTTTATTAAATTACCTTATAATTGGTTACAGAAAAACAAATCATTCTTTTGATAACAATGCTAGTTGTTTGAACAAATGTTGTGATAATAATGTAATTTGCTTGATATTTTGTGACATTACGAAAAATAGAAAAAGATATGACAATTAACAATAACATTATATTTATCATTACTTCGTTGAAGCAGATGCCCAGTACACTGATTAGAGTAAATCGCATTGGTTAATGAACTCTGCTGAAAAAGGAGAAGAGTTTATAACAATAGACTTGCTGTATAGCTTATTTCATACCGAAAAAATATTTCTTATTACAATATGTTTGCACATTTAAATTTAAATTTTTGATGATTTAAATTTATTGATTTTATTGATGAGTTCTAAACTAAAGATAGAGGAGGATGTAGTAAGCAAGTCTACAAGATATAATAAGCCACGCCTTTAATATCAAATATCGTTATTGTTACTGTGTGTATGTTTACTCGATGTTTGGGAGTTTATGAGTGTATACTTGGATGCAACACATATAATAAAATATATAAACCATCCTTCGGGTCTTGTTTAGTTTGTGTGCTTGTAAGCCATCCAAATAGAAAACATAAATGTTACAGAGGATATCAATGATTTTCTTATAAACGTGTGATTCATTCTCTTAGAGGTGTATAAAACAAACAATTTTCACTTGTTGTGGTATTCACAAATAAACAAATGAAAAACAGAAACAAATATTTTATTCATAAACAATGTAACAAACTGAATTTTCTGTAAATTATATAGAACAGAAAATATGTTTTAATTAATGAAACTTAGAGTAAATAATAGACAAAAAAATAATGTTATAAGTAATAAGTCAATATTTCTCTATCATAGCAGTAATAGAATTTCTACTGGCAACCTCACCATATTTTACCTATTTTATATAAATTATATATATGGTACGTATCCTCCAAAATATATAAGTGGTACGTAACCTCCAAAAATGGTACGTAACCTCCTGGTACGTATCCTCCGTGGTACGTAACCTCCAGTAATCTAAATAAACACTATTTATACTGTATAGGGGGTATATTTTGGATATTATCATTAATATTGATAGAATTTCAAGTTCCTGTGGGTACAGCATCAGAGACGGTGAGGCAATATATGGGCCACGGCATTCGAGTGCTATGAAGAATATGTGTAGTTGCCTGGCATGGGATTATGCCATTACTATTCAAATGGAGATACATGAACTGTTGCGTAAAGAAAAGACATTAAAATTCGCAGTTATTAATATTTTCAACTGTAAATTCGAAAGAGTTAAGTACTGTCTACTGCAAAGGAGGTTATAGGGGATTGTCACCTAGTTCTTTTTGTATGTTTTTTGTTTTGTCTGGACCTAGTTTTTGGTCACAACTGACCCTAATATAGAGTCCAGGCACCGTTACAACCCCCCTTTGGTCTACTGTATTATGCAATGGATTCCAAAATACACGCGTTCACTTTGGAAATTAGTTTTTATTTCTGCACCTTCTGTACTCATCCCCCAACAAACATATATTTAGTAACATGCAGTTTCGTGAGCAGCAAAGTTCTTTAATGGCATTTAAAGATTAATTTAAGCTGGATTCAATCTGCAATGTTCAATTAATGTGCGGGAATCAATGGACACAAAAGAAAAATACAACATAACTGAATCAAAGTACGGGACAATTTTAATGATTACCACACGGCACTTTATACAGGTCTGCTGTTGTCCATTTTAGACTCTAACAAAAGTCGAGTTTTTTTTATTTATTTTATTTTTGCAACAACATACATGTAGATCACAGTTACAAAAATGTACATAAAAAGGATATGCATATAGTTACAAGTATAGCCCATTAAGCCGGTGTGCTTATTTCCAATGGGGTCCTGTTAACCAAATAGATGCAAACAAGATGAAACCAGAGAGACATTCATTTCTCAAATAAAAATAGACAATGAGATAGACTACGAATAAATCCTAGAATTTCTACGTAGGTTTTCATAATAGATTTAGTAGTAGATGCAAGTGGAAAAAATACTCACTGGATCGGTATCTCAAAAGTTCACTTACAATGTATATGCTATATTAATATTATCACAGTACTATAGTAGTTTTGCATTATCACAGAAAAAAGGTGGAAAAGAAAAAGTACTCACTGGTTTTCGGTATCTTAACACTTTAATATGCTATATTATCACAGTAATTTTGCATTATCACTGAAAAAAGGCACAGGAAAACATAAGATAACTAAAATATAATAAAGTTCGGCATACATATATATGTCGCCACTCAGTAATATAAAAAAAAATCACTTGATGTTGTGCGGCCTAAATTGAAACAAGATGGCTTTTAACAGAAGTTTTATATAAAGTTGGATTTGATATACATTTTACATCATCTGGCAAACTAGTCCAATCTTTAATATATACCATTGTAGAAAAAAGTGCCATTACATGTCTTATTACAATGAGGAATTGAAAAATTTAACATATTTGATCTGGTGTTGTATTTGTGTATATCAGACATCTAAACAAAGTTTGTTATCATATAAGATGGACACTTATTATTAAAAAAATCTTATACATATGATTAAGTACGTCTTATATAGTTGTTTTACTCTATTTTCAATACAATTAATGTATTTAACATGTTAACATCTGTAAAATCAGAAGGAGTTAAACTAGTTCTTGGATGGTAATCTTATATAAACCTTATGACTTTGTTTTGAGCTACTTGCAGTTTCTTTTTCAGACTTTTATTTTAACCATCGTACCAAGATGAACAAGAATAGTCAAAATGACATTGGATTAAAGCAGAACAAAGCAGCTATATAGTGTTCTACAGTTAAAAAATAGACATTTACTGTTTCTGTACAAAAATTTAAGCAGCAATTAAAAAATGTATTCGTTCTTTATTCGTTATTTAAGAAATGTTTTTTACTTGTTAATGAGTCGATGAGAATATTACCGTAATTTGATTGTTATGTTGAATCGTCTGCAAAATAAATAAATAAATAGGGCGAAACATTATGAGTGTGAATCCTTATATTACATGTAAAGCTTCCAAGTGATATAGACTTGAATTTTTTTCCGTATTATAACTTTAACCGGCTTATTGTTTAAAATAAACAGGTTAAAGGTAAATAAAGTTTTTTACTGGATTGTTTACATAATTTTACATGTTTAATACATTTGTTTGACATTTCATGTGGTGCTAAGACTGAGTTTTTCTGCCGCCTTGTTATATATGTAAAGTCGGATAGGTAACGATTTCGGATAACAGATGAATATAGTAGGGCTGTGCATTGCCATTTTTTTCTGTCACGATACATATCACGATATTTGTTTTTCAAAACGATGCGATTCACGATATGTATTGCATACTTTGAAGAAATGCGATGCATATTGCGATTCTTATGTTGCGATGCGATACGTATCACGATACTGACTTTTAGACTTAGTATATAAAAAATTGGCCATTTGTTTACAGCATAATTACGAATATAATATAAAACTATTACAATAACAAAAAAATAAACTCTTTAACTTGTTGTTATAACTTGGTTTCCGATTTTGATCTTTTAACAATTTACTTTTCTGATTACTTGAGGATTAAAGGTATTTTTAATTAAACCATAACAGCAAATTGATATCTACTTGCTATTCTAACACTAAAGTCCACTACTGTAAATATGGCAGTTTAACAATTTCAGTCTTACAATACACCACTAAAGATTTTTCTTGTGAAAAAAATAGTAACAAGTGATCTACAATTAGGTCAACAACTGTGAAAATGACAGTTTATAAGTATCAGTCTCAGTTTTCTCGAAAGATTTGTGCTCAACCCCAGAGTATTTTATTTTGAGTTTGCAAATTTTGCAAAGACTCCACGTCCGATCTTCCACATTATACAACAGTGTTGCATCTAGGCCGCGCGATTGCGCGATTTGCGCATATTTTATGCAGATCGCGCATTTTAATGAAGTCAACGCGCGCCAAGACGCGCATGTGACAATTTTTTAACTTTATTCAGTTTATCTTCATCGTGTCTTGAAAGCTTCAGCCATGTTTGTTTTCACTCGTGGTAATGACTAAAATACGTACTAAAAAGCGTGTAGCAGCCGACTGGGTCATCTCGCGTGTGTTTTGTAGTATTCGTCAATATTTTATTGTTCTACTTCCGTTTTTGAGCGGACGATAGCTGTTAAAAATGCCTGAACGTAAAATAAATGAATTCTTTTCGATAAATCATAGTGTAAGGTAAATGTATGTCCCCCACATTTTTTTTCAAATCCCCCACATTTTTCAGTTGAGTGGGGGACTATCCCCCATAATTTTGAAATTCTAGATGCAACACTGTACAACACTGTCTGATGGTTCCCCAAAAACTACAATGTTCCCAAAACTCATGACTGATATGACCAGGGAGGATTGACTGTAATTTCCCCTTCTACATATTTTGCAGTCTTCATGTTTTCTGTTTGTTTGTTTGCTTTGTTGTTTTTTACGGGAAAATGATGTCAACGGAAATGAAAGTATAAATACGTGACGAATATCACATGGGGATGTTGTCATCATCACTATTTTAATCCGACATTTAAGTGCTACAAAATAAAATTACAAATTCATGTTTGTAGGTTGTTTTTTCTTGAAATCGCACAGATCTCTAATTTATTATGTTTTTATTATAAACAAGTTCAAAGAACACCAGCCCATTTACATGGAATTGATAAAACTTGGTTAGTAACCGTTAAAAGATTGCGGACATGGGGAAACGAGATGACAACGATGGTATGATAATAGTCGCGCTCGTTTATTGTTTTCATCCGAGCTATTTTTCTTTCTTTTGTCTTTCAAAAAATACGTTTGTCCTTATATTCCTGGAAGATATTGTTAGTGTATTGCGATACCTTCCCGCTGTATCGATACATCGGGAGGTGAAATATGTATTGCATCGCAATATATTGGAATTTGTAATTTCATTACGATGCATACATCGGGGACAAGGCAGATCGCGATGCATCGATGCATCGATGAATCGTTACACCTCTAGAATATAGTGCTCTTTGATTATCCCATTAATGTCAAGCCACATTTCAGTGACCTGCACATCCGTAGTATTTAAGTCACGCCTGAGTAGCCAGCCCGCACAGCTGAATCGGTTAGAGTGTGAGATTTGTAATCTCGACATTGTGGGTTCGATTCCCGGGCTGGGGAACTAAAATTACTAATCTGTCTTTCGGATGAGACTTTAAATTGAGGTCCTGTGTATGAGTGCTTAAACGTGTTAAAAAACCAGTAGAAGCTTCTGGAATTGGGGCATCTTTCTGTATCTGTATCTTGCACTAACCTCCAAAAATCTAAAAAGACTAATTCTCTTCTGGGGGACTCGCCCATATGGGCAACCGGTGGTGAGTATAAATAAACTCAAATTACTACTACTTCTTCCTGAGTGTTATGGTATACAGTGGGAAAGTATATCTTATAGACCACAACAAGTAACTTTTACTGTCTTAGTATACTAGACAGTACCTATGTAATTGGTATCAGAAGTATTGAATAGTCCCAAGAATTAAACACGCCAGAAATTGATGTTGTAAAACAATTCATGTGCATTTTTTAAAAAGGCTGGCTTTCTCTATTTGTACTACTTTCCTTTTCACCTCACTCCCCAATACCTGTTGTTGGAATATGGTACAGCATTAAAAAAAAATAGGTTAAATTTTATGGTATATTGAAAAAAATACTGTTAACCATAAGATATTACTAATAATCAGATACATAGGAGAGATATATGTTATAAAGCTGTTAAAGGTTTGGAAATATGTGCCCAATTGCTGAGTTCCTATGAACAGGCCCCAGTCACTTCATGACATTGTGACATATATGAAATGATCTATAAGTTACATGCACATGTATCTATTGATGGCTGGCTGTCTAAACTGTAAAAAATCTCTAGAATGATTACGTTCACAGTGGGTTTTTTTCACCAAAATATTTGGCGAAATTCGGCCCATTCCCTTCTCAAAATAGTATGTTTTTTTCCCCTCTCAAAGCCAAAATTTCCCCCTTATATGGCAGCCACAATTTGCCTGCAATGAATACCATTTTTTTTTTGCATATAATTGCCGAAAAAAGTTTTATATTAAGCCTGTAAGACTTACTGTTAAGCAAAGTTGTTTACAAATTGTTCCCGGGTATGTAAGGGGAGCTACTCCTGATGTCCTAACAAGTTTAACATGCGACGCTTTAAATTCTGCTGTCAATATTTAAGATCCGTATATTAAGAAAAAGCAACTTATTTTAAACTTGTGTTGCAAGAGTTGCTCCCCTTTTCTACTCAATGGAAAGAAAAAATTGTCAAACAAAAGTAAATCTTACAGTGGTAAGTGATGTATTAAAATATGCATTGGATTCGTTTTTGTTTCATCATTTGTGAAGAAATAAAATTCCCCGTCCTTTTGCATTTCCCCCCCCCTCCAAACGGCACCGACCCCCTTCCCCAAAAAGTGAAAAAAAAAAGCACTGGTTCAAGGTGTCAAATAGGAATCTTTTCTTTCAATTTTTAAGTTTTACATAATGAAGGTATTTATGGCAGCGCATCAAACTAAAAAGCTTTAGTCTGCCAGTATATACATCATGTTTTAACGGATATATGTACTAACATAGTACATATAACATATTTTCACTATGTATACTTTGATACATGCATTTTATCAATTCTTTACAAACTGTACATCCTTGTTGAAATCAAGATTTGATCATTGCTGTGATAATTATAATATAAATATTATACAATTCTTAAGGCTATAGCATTTGAACAACAGTGAACTATTGCAGAAGTTGGTGCTAGTTTTTGTATATTTTTATAGTGTTTGTGAAATACATCAAAATTTATTTGTACCAAAGGATTTGTTTTATTTTTAGAAGCCTGTAATTTAGGATTAAATGGAACAGGGAGCAAATGAAGTTCATGCTGATGGTAATTACACATATAATATATCTTTCTATATATGTATTGTTGGCACAATGCCAGTATTTTCTATTTATAGTAACATAAAAAAACATCCATATTTTGTTCACTTTAGATTTGAAATTTTGTAAAATATTTATCCTGATGAAGGTTTAAGAACCAAATCTGGTAGATTATTAAATTACTCAACCTTATTCATTTCTTTCTTATTTTAATGTATTGAGCAAGTCTTATACAAATGTTATACACTAGCCAATTTTTACCTGGGGAATAGCAGGGACTTTGACTTTCTTAAACCTTTTTTAACAACCCTGCTTTGTTTTGGATATTGGGTGATGGGGTTGTGATTGACGTTGTATAATAATGTTGAAAGCATATAGCTGAAACTACTTGGGTAGTGAAGTTATAGTAAACTGTAGTGAATGTATTTGAGATTTTTATACACATACACTGTATGAACAGTTATTCTGTCCCATTCCATTGTAAACAATTCATATGCTTTTTAGAATCAGTTTAAGAAATTTATGTATTTTGTAGAAAAAAATATTTTTTCCAAATCTGTTAAAACATGCGTTTATATACACAGAGATTTATATGATTTTTATACAAAGTTAGATAACATTTTTTTTATTTTGATAGAGACAAAAATGTTAACAAGCTAATGAAAAAATATGTGTGTGGTAAATCCTGTCCTACTTTTTTTGAACATCCCTCTTTAGGTATTGGTAATGTATATGTCCTTAATTAGAAAATAGCAGGGATAGAATGTTGAAACCAGAACTGTTCATATACATTTCAGATGAAACAGAATTTCCGGGCTCTAAGACTGTTTCTAGAATAATAAACTCTGTAACAAGGTATGTGTAACAATAAGCAGAATATGCTATTATAAAAAATTTTACAAATTAAACTTCTAGATAAAGATCAAGTAACATTTTCCTTTTGTTACAAATTAGTTTAAAATATATAAAACTTCAGTCCATTCCAAATTTATTGTAATTTACTCTCATTTGGCACTTAATGCAGTGAAAGTAAAAGATGCAGAATTAAACAGAAAATGAAACTGTTTTGAACAGTTTGATATTTTATAAGTAGAAAGATTTATAATTAATATAGTAGGCCAGTGTTTATTTTAATTCAATTGGGAAGAGGCACAGCTTCAAAAAAATTATCGCTGAAATTGCTAATTTTGGAAGTTAAAAAGCTGGTGTAAGTTCATTCTTTTGGGAAATCTGCATGAGGCTAAAAATCTTGGGTAGGTTAATAGTTGTAATGCTAGAAATTATATATTGTTCTACAGATCATTCCAACATATCTGGGGCTCTGACATTGAACCTCCAGTCTGGGATGAGACTGATGAATATGACTTTAACCATCCATGCCGAGGGACCATGATTGTTTTCAACAATGAGCATTTCAAGGGGCATTCCTCAAGGCCAGGTTCCAGTGTGGATGCTGATAATCTTTACAAAACTTTCACAAAGCTGGGATTCAGTGTTACCTGCCATCATAATCAAACAAGAGATCAGATGATTCATATTCTTAAAAAAGGTATGTATGTATTTAATGCTGTTATTTTGATGCCTATTTACATTGTCAGGGCTTTGTCAGTAATATGCTTTGTGATATTGACATTTAAAATATAATATTGAAATTTGAAGTTTTTATATTTGAATACACTTAGTAATGTTTCTATATTTACAACTTATTTAAGAAATAATGCACACTGATTGGTCACTACCCCCAACCCCCTCTAATATCCCTAACCTTTCCCAAACAATCTAAACTGCAGTGTTTTTTCATGTAACATGCATTTAAATATTATATATATGATTGTGATAACATTAATTAGTCCCCTACCGGTTTAACCGGAGGGGACTTTAGGTTTACCCTCCGTCCGTCTGTCTGTCAGTCTGTCAGTCCGTCAGTCCGTCCGTCCACAAAACTGGATCCCGCGATAACGCAAAAAGTACTGAAAATATTTTTATGAAACTTGATATATGGATAGATGGCAGTATGGAGATTATGCACGTCTTTTTTTTTTCTTCCTATATTGAAAATTCTGGTTGCTATGGCAACAAATAGTCTGAAAATATGGCAAATTTAACACATAAACTGGATCCAGTGATAACTCAAAAAGTACTGAAAATATTTTTATGAAACTTGAAATATGGGTAGATGGCAGTCTGGAGATTATGCACATCTTTTTCTTTTCTTCCTATGTTGAAAATTCTGGTTGCTATGGCAACAAATAGCCTGAATTTCAAGATTTCTGATTTAAATTTTTCAGCTTTTTCACTATATGTTCTTTATTTCTTAAGGTGTTTTACTTCAAACTTTAAATATAAGTTCCTGGTCATCAACCACATCATATGTGACAAGGTTTATAACTCTAGCACAAAAAATATCAATATTACCTCCCTTGAACTTAGATTTTTTAGGGGAAAAAATGTTGTCTTTTTTAAATAACTTCTTTATTTCCTAATGTATCTACTTCAACTTCATATATATGTTTTTTATTATCACTCGACATTTTTGAGAAGGTTAAATACTCTAGCAAGACTATTTCCAGAATTATGTCCCCCTTGAACTTAGATTTTTTTCGAGAAACTGGTATTTTCACTCCAACTTCTTCATTCCTTATAGGATTTACTTTAAAATCCCACATCGTAATAATATGACAAGGTTGTATAAACATAATTTCCTTACTAAGCATGGAAACTTAACACATTACTGTGATATAGACAAACTTATTTTATTATGTTTTGTGGTCGATATTTTCAAATACAGACTTCATCCTCAAATTCATTATAAATGGCAATACACAGGAGTGTATGACAATTAAAGAACTTTTTGAGGGACCGGTAGGGGACTACTGTATTGCCCGCAATACTATCAAATGCTTGTTTTATTTTAAAAAAAAGGGTAAAAACATAATATATTTAGTATAGGTATGCAACTGGCTGCTCATTTTTCAGCACTCATCTTAATGTGAACTCTATAATTTTCATCAATTTTTTCACCAAATTTCAAAATTTTGATACCCAATGTTAGGGAATTGATTACTCTTAAAAGAAATTAAGCTAGGATTTCAAATACATGTAATAAGAAGATAATTCTAAAAAAAACCTAACGGTCACATTTCTGTTGTTATTCACTCCTGGTGATTTCCAAAATACATAACTTCTTATTATCATGTTAAAGGCGACAATCATGTACTTGTTTAAATGCTGAATAAATAAATTGAATTGAAATTATTTAAAATCATTGAAATGACAGCTTTATTTCTGATTTGTATAGTGATTTAAAATATCATTTAAGCAATTGCAGTGTTCGAAATTTCGAAATTAGCAGTAGTCCTATAGCCCCTGACTACTAAATTTCTCCTCGGGCTACCAACTTTTCACAGTAACAAGCCCGACCAGGCTACTGTATTTTTAGAGGCAATATAAACAACTGTTTTGAACAAATGAATCGTGCTAGAGAAATGTCTTTTGGGCTAGTGAATATTCCAATCTGGTATTCCGACCAGCCTAGTGGATACAAATCCTAATTTCTTACACTGCAATTGCAATTGCCATCAGTATCATAATGAAATTATTTATATATCATTATCTGAATTGCTTAAAGGAATTCATTGTATCAATTTTGATATCTTATGAACTAAATAATACAGTTATAATAAAACATTTCAGTGGCTAAAAGTGATCACAGTAAAGCTGATTGTTTTGCTTGCGCTATATTGTCACATGGTGATGAAGTCCATGTAGTAGATGACAACGATCCTGGTAGACATGTTAGAGAAGATTTAGTCTATGCCACTGATCAAATTATACTCACCAGAGAGATAGTTAACATGTTCACTGATAAAAAATGTAAAACATTGCAAGGGAAACCAAAACTTTTCTTTATGCAGGTATAAACTTCTTTCTGTTTTATGGTTTGTTGATGCTTCACTTTTTGAAACTTTTAGATTAGGGGCAATAAGTTGTCAGTTAACGTCTGTTTGACTGTGACAGTTGCTAGGGGGCATGAGGGATGCTGCACTTTTTCATTATCTCTCACATACAGACTCAATCAAACAGAGGCTGCAATTTTCATGTAATTTTGTTGTGATTACCAATAATGCTTCCGACGACCACCTTTTCTCCAGATTGTGATTGTTACTTTACCTTTTTTCAGCCTTTTTCTATGCAAGTCATATATTAATTTTTAATGAAACTTGCTAACTTGTATTATTCTCGAGTGAAGTTGTATATAATGTACTATATATGTTACAGGTGTTGATGATTTCTTTCAAAGTTAAGGCCTTGTATTCTTAATATTATTATATTCTTGTGAAGGCTGATAAATACATTTTAGATTTGCCCTTCTCTGCCTGAACTGTTGTCACACTGCTACACTTTTCTGCTGTATGGTTGCCCATCTGTTCACACTGCTACACTTTTCTGCTGTCTGGTTGCCCATCTGTTCACACTGCTACACTTTTCTGCTGTCTGGTTGCCCATCTGTTCACACTGCTACACTTTTCTGCTGTCTGGTTGCCCATCTGTTCACACTGCTACACTTTTCTGCTGTCTGGTTGCCCATCTGTTCACACTGCTACACTTTTCTGCTGTCTGGTTGCCCATCTGTTCACACTGCTACACTTTTCTGCTGTCTGGTTGCCCATCTGTTCACACTGCTACACTTTTCTGCTGTCTGGTTGCCCATCTGTTCACACTGCTACACTTTTCTGCTGTCTGGTTGCCCATCTGTTCACACTGCTACACTTTTCTGCTGTCTGGTTGCCCATCTGTTCGCTACACTTTTCTGCTGTCTGGTTGCCCATCTGTATACTGTCTGACATTCAAAGAATGGAATGTGGTGACATCAATTTATGGACACATTTCTAATTTTCTTTAAAATTTAAGATTTGACCATGGCCCAGTTTCAAGAATATTATACTACATTTGTGAATTCAATAAAGATTTAATGAAGAATATGTAGCAATGTTTACAGTAATACTTATTTTTTGACATAAGTAAAAAAATGTAATTTGATTTTGGCAGGCATGTCGAGGTTCAACATTGGACTCTGGTGTAAATTTAAGTGTTATGGAAGACGAGGTGGATGCCATTGTTGCTGAAACTATAGAAGTCACACCAAGTCCAATATACAAAGACTTTCTTTTGATGAATGCCACTCCCCCAGGTAGGGATTACTCATTCATGTTCTCTTTAAGACTGATTTAAAGGATCATTAAATGAAATTATTCAGAGCTTCTAAACTGTTATTGAACTTGATTACAAACCATATATTATATTGAATTTTGTGTGTGCATATTATATAAGAAATACATAAAAAGCAAATAATATTGATATGAAGGGGTTATGTCTGTCATGCACCATAAACTTTTGTTTTGAACAACTTCTTGTAAACCGCTAGGCCAATGTTATTAAAACTAAGTTGGAATGTTCCTGGCAAAATGCTTTTACAAAACTGATATAAGAATTTTATTCCAAGCAGATCTATGGTTTCTTTGAAAAAAAAGCACCTTTAAAAATCTCCTTAATCTCAAAGGCTGGAGCTAATATATTTTGGCATGAAACATCATCTAGTGAATCTCTATTAAGTTTGTTCTAATTTTTAATCAGAGGTTAAAGTTAATATAATAATTGTTTTTCCTCATATAATTGTATGGTATCTTACAGGTTACTATGCTTTTCGTCGTCCTGACACTGGCTCCTGGTTTGTCAGAGCTTTGTGTGAGATCCTATCACACCCAAATGCAGGGAACCAGTCACTCAATCAACTTTTGACCTCTGTGATCCGGCTTGTGTGCCAGCAGTACCAATCTCAATCTACGAATCTCAAAATCTCAGGGAAGAAACAGACACCTTGTTTTATGTCTATGCTGGTTAAAGACGTATACTTCAGGCCTACAGGGAGATCACTTGATAAAGCTGACCAAAAATAGGAAAGTCTACTTCAATCTAGTCCACTCCAATTGTTAAGAGTGATAATTGTTAAGTTCGTTTGTGGTTTTTTTTTGGTTTTTTTTTTAAAGAAAAATGTTTGATGAATGATTTCTGCTATGTTTTCCTAACCTTTTGCACTTTGCCAACAAGATAGAAAGATAGATTTTTTGTATCTTTTTGTTCATTTGGGGCCATTTATTTGTTAGTTTTTTGTGTTTTTTTTTTCAGTGGATGTCAATTGAAATATTTGTAGTTATGGTGGGATACCAAAATGGTAGACTAGCATAGCAGAAATCATCCATCAAAAATATGGACTTTTTTCTACTTTTCTATAAACCAGTGAAATATAGCACAACATTCCCACTAATTTTGAATACTAGTACCAGTGTGTGACAATCTGCAAGGTATAACCCTTATATATTGTAAAATTAATTTTTTTATTAAATTTACTGCACACATTAATGATTTAGGCACTACGATAAAAAAAAATAGTTTAAATGCATAATTTGAAATGTAAAAAGTTGTATTCTGGCTTTGAGGTTATAAAACTTTTCAGTCTTAAATCTCAGGATTTTCATTGGTCAATGTACATTCTGACGAATCAAAAACCTGAGATTTGAGTTTGACCTGGAAGAATTTCTTTTTAACCTTGGATCCTGACCTTTTAGAAATGACTGTCAATGAAGCGATTTTAAAATGGAAGTTTTGTACAGATTACATTGAGTTATTAGATGTATTTTGACCTGATGAAAGGAACTATAACTGTGATAGTGCATTGTGATCTGTGTTTTATGGGAACAAATATTTCTACCCTTTTAAAATGTTTTACCTTGTTTTGTTTTGCTGGTTAATTACAAAATACATGTATGTTAAATGTTTCAAAATGATAAAGACATACCATGTAATTAATACTATTCAGTAAACAAAAACAATGGAATATCAATCTTTTTATTTCTGTCATGAACAGTAAGAGGGGTTTATAAATTTCACCTTTATGTTTGTGTAACAGAGTAATGATATAAGGACTTCTGTATGAAAAGAAATCAGTTTATAAGTTATCGTCACTAGTATCTTACATTGCACCAGATGTTATTGTATTTCTTGAAATCGAAAACATCATCTAGTTAATGTAAACAAGGAAGTTTTAAGGTAGTTATACCAACTAACTTCATTCATGAAAGGTGCTGCTTTTTTATGCTCCCTGAGATTTTTTTTTGTTTAGTAACTATTTTCTAGTTTGTCCTTTAGTCCTTCATCATACTGGCTCACTATATATCTTAACACCTTCATTTATTGACTTGTTTCTTAGATCTTTGGTGTGTTGTAACGGTTTACATAGACTCTACATTTTGGTTAGGTATTGAGCCCAATTTGGTCTAGGTCACTGAAGATAGACATAGATTTTCCAACTTTTTCTAACAGTTATACATGAACCTGATTTTCACTTAATTATACTGGCATCAGGGATCATATATGCCTTATTGTAGCCTAAACAGTGTGGCAATAGGGATCATCAGTTGGTGTTACTGATATATAGAAGATATTAAATGAGTGTAGGTTCAATACTGAATTTATTGAATGAGTTGAATAAAATTATATTATGCGAGCCTCTGATGAGCATGATTTTATGTAATCCAACAAGTTCAACAAATTTAATAGTGAAGCTTCACAAATGTAATATTGTGTATATCACATATTTAAAATAAGAATGGTTTACAAGTAAAAAGAGTTGTTTTTTTATTGACACACACACTTAAGCGCTATGTTTGTATATAAGGCAAATGAAGTCACATCAAAGTGTTATAACACTAGTATAATATCATTTTCATTGAATGGCTTTATTACACTCCTGCACTGCGATTTATGTGATATAATTGTTTTACACATGCATGTATCTATAAAATTGTTTATTCAATTTTAAATGGTCTAATGTTTTCCACAAATATTTTCTCTTACATTAATAAGCACTCAATTTTAAACTGGTTTAAAAATGTTTATTTTTTTATCAAAATGTTTAAATATTTTTTTTTACTTTTGTCTTACATACATGTATTTATTTATTATGTTCATGATATTGAATTTGCATTTTTGTTGTTTATAGAAAGTCAACTTTGGTTATTTTAATATTTTATTTTGTTTATCAGTTTTACTGCAGCATGAAGAAAGTTTCATATCATGCTATTTTATTTTTTTATTGTGTGTTTATTTTGCAATATTTTGTAAACAAACTGAGAAAGATGGTGCTGTTTTGTTTAACATGACTATAATTCTACCTCCATTTTTTATCAATCTTAGAGTTTAAGGATAATAATTGTGTTGATTACTCTATCACAATATGTTTTATTTTAAAACAAGTTATTGCCCTTGACTTAGTAAAAATTTGCAATTTTCAAATTGTGTTGCATGTAACTCAAAAAGGATTTGACATAGAGTCATGAAACCTTACGGGAATGTCACTCAGCATATGTAGTTGTGCACCTTGGGTTTCGTTTGTGGATTTATTCAGTATTTGTAGAGTTTTGGCCCTTGACTTAGTAAAAACCGTTTCATTATGTGGTGTTATTTGTTCCTTGAGTGCTTGAATTAGAATCAACCAACTTTACAGCATCACTGTGAAGCTATGTACCTGGGACTTTGCATGTGGATTTTTTTTCAGTTTTGTTAGAGTTATTGCCCTTGACTTACAAATAAATAAAAAATTTGCCCAATTTTTCCCTTGTTTCCCCTATATAGGTCAAAAAATGTTTGACTTTTGTAGGCCTGAAAAATTTAAAAGAATGTTGGGGCAGCAAAGGGTTTTCTTAAAGCCACCCTTGGGGGTTTTTTTGTGGAAATTTTTTTCCCGTATTTGAAAAGTTTTTTGCCCTTTAAATGTTTTAAAAAATTTTTTTTTTTTCAATTGTGGCATATGTAGTCCCAAAAAAAATTTGACCTTAGGGGTCATCAAAATTGGGCAGAATAGTGGAGTGTGGGGGGACCCGTTCCTATGGGCACATTTTTTCCCTATTAAAAATTTATTTCACAGACATATTTTGTTATATACAAATGTATTATAAGTTATTATTTATTCTAAATTTCATGCATTTTTATACGCCCGTTTGAAAAACGGGACGTATTATGGGAACGCCCCTGGCGGGGCGGGCGGTCGGCGCGGGCGGCGGGCGGGCGGTCGGCGGGCGGCGTCCAATTTTGTCCGGAGCATATCTCCTACATGTATGGAGGGGTTTTAATGAAACTTCATATAAATGTTCACCACTATGAGGAGCAGTTGTCGCGCACATGAACCAGGTCTCTAGGTCAAAGGTCAAGGTCACACTTAGAGCTCATTGAAAAATGCTTGTCCGGAGCAAAACTTCCATTTTTGTTTATGCATGTATAGAGGGATTTCAATATTAACTTGGCACAAATGTTCACCATTGTGAGGCGGAGTGTCGCGTGCAAGATTCAGGTCCTTGCGGCCAAGGTCAAGGTCACACATAGAGGTCAAAGTTCAGATAAAAATATGAAGATGTGTATATGGACCATTTAGTCATCATTTATTGAGGGATTGTAACACAAATGGTCATTATCAAGACTATGGCTGTGATACATATAATTTAGGTCAATATACAGGGCACTCGTTTGGCCATTTTTGGGGCCGAATATCGGCCCCATTCCCCTCTCAAAATCATATGCTTTTTTCCCCTATTTCAGTAGAAAATTCCCCTAAAAAAAATTGTAGTGTAAATGTTTGATATTTAACCAAAAAAGTATAAAAATAAAATATATTTCTGTTTAACTTTCAATGGATTGAAAACTAAAATACAGTTGTCAACAACGCTGTATGTTAAAGCCAAAAGTAGCAGGAAGTGAGAAATGTACAAGGGAGGTAACTCTCGTAAAATTATTGACAAAATTAATGTGGCAGATAATCATCGTAGGAGTTTACCTTATATTCAATTTGTTTAGAGAATAGACATTCATTGTCATATTCTACTAGTCAATAAACAAAACTATTTTAAATTACTGTCAGTTGTTGTTGGAAAAAAACGTATTTCTCTTGCAGCTTTGTACTCAAATATTTTCGTACCAAATATTTTCGTACCCAGTTTTACAGTAATAATAATAATAATAATAAAGACTTTATTTAACGAGAGAACTCATTTGAACAAACATATCAATCTTCCATGAGGCCCTCAACAAGGAACAATGTAAATTTAACATATTCAAACTATTATAATACATAAATGTAAAAACATACAGGAGATTATCAATTTGCATACATGGAAGTGTGATAATACCTCAAGTATAAGGTTTTAAAATGGTTCACAGATGCAGCAGACTTAATATAATCAGGAAGGCCATTCCAAATACAAGATCCAGAATAAACAAAAGACTTACGAAATTGTTCAGTATTTGGTCTAGGGGTATAAAGTTGAAAATCAGATGATGAACGCAAAATGCGAGTATGAACATCTGACGATAAAATGAAATTATTCAATAAATAGGTAGGCGCCTGATTATTCATTATTTTTAAACATCATAGTAAGCTTTTTGAAAAACAACCCTCTGTGAAAAGGTCATCCAGCGGAGTTCAGAAAAAAAGTTCAGCAGATGGAGTGTCATAATCTTTGTCTAGAATTAGTCTTTGCAGCTCTCTTTTGGAACTTAATGAGTTTATCTTCTAGAAAAGACGTACAGTTACCGTAAATTATGCAACAATAATCAAGATGTGGTAAGATATATGCATTGTAAAATATTTTACGTTACAGGTTATAGATATGAATAATTTAATACGTGATAATAAATGTAACAATGAGTTACACTTTTTAAGAACATTATCAATATGGCTTTGCCAAGACAAGGTGTTATTAATTGTAATACCCAATAATTTTTCTTCAGAGCTACAAAAAAATTTGCTCTGTTTTATATAGAATACAAGGTTACTTTCATGGATATAATTTTGCTTGTGTTTTGAGGAAATATACATGACCTTAGTTTTGTTAACATTGATAGACATGCGATTCAAATCACACCATTTGTTGGCATTTTAAAAGATCATGAGTAAGAGATTCAACTACTCTGTTTAGGGATACATCAGAGGTTGAAAGGGTAGTGTCATCAGCAAAAAAATCAGTTTCTGTTTTTTCCATAGACAAAGGCAGGTCATTGATATAGATTAAAAACAGTATAGGACCTAGCACTGAGCCCTGAGGAACTCCAGTAGTTACTGAACTTGACTCTGAATATAAACCGGATATGTAAGTTTGTTTGGGTTCTGCAATCTAAATAGGAGGAAAACCAAGCAACTGATGAAGGGTCTAGGTTATACATTCTAAGCTTTTCAATAATAATAGAGTGATCCACATAGTCAAAAGCTTTAGAGAGATCAAGGAAAATTGAACCAACTATTTCATTTTTGTCAATAGCTGTAATCCAGTCATCAATAATTCTAATCAATGCTGTTTGACATGAATGATTTGACCTGAATCCAGACTGACGTTGGTAAAGAAGTTGATTTTTCTCAAGGTATTGCTTTAAATGTGAACTGACATGACGTTCAAGAATAAGTGATATCAAGGGAAGTATGGAAATTGGCCTATAGTTTCTTTTATCACTTTTAGAACCCTTTTTATGTATAGGAATGACTTTTGCATTTTTTGAATGATTTAGGAAATGTTTTGTTTAGAATACTGTTATTGAATATAGTGGTAAGTATGGGAGCAATAATATGAGCCGATAACTTTAGAAACCTTGCACTGAGACCATCTGACCCACATGACTTTGTAATATCAATCGATTTTAATTGGTTCAACACATAAGAGAGCTCTATTTTAGGTATTTTGAAAGGGGGTATAT